CCGCTGAGCAGGGAGCCCGATGCGGGACTCAATCCCGGGACTCCAGGATCATGACCTGAGCCGAAGGCAGTCGCCCAACCAACCGAGCCACCCAGGCGCCCCCAGGACTTCTTTCTTAATTTAACAGTTTATTAGACTTGGCCAGGCAGAACTTACTTACTGTAAAATGGAGATAATATTACACGCTTTGGAGAGTTATTGTGGAGTTTAGAAAAAACTGACATAAACTATCTTGCATAGGACATGACAGAATAGTTGCCTACAAAAGTTATTTATCATTAAAATAAATGCGATGGGGGCGTCTGGGTGGCTCAGTTGGTTAGGGGACTGCCTTCGGCTCAGGTCATGATCCTGGAGTCCCTGGATCGAGTCCCGCATGGAGCAGGGAGTCTGCTTCTCCCTCTGACCCTCCCCCCTCTCATGTGCTCTTTCTCATTCTCTCTCTCTCAAATAAATAAATAAAATCTTAAAAAAAAATAAACAAATGCGATGGTAGTAATTAACAAAGTAATTAAGTTAAGACAAGTTGGGCTACTAATAACCTCTGTTCCTGTAATATGAATGTGAGGAAAGCAATTAAACCCGACCCTATTAAATGACAATGAGATGGTATAAATTCTCTGTATGCTCTGACAGAAAGGTGAAAATTTTATCCCTTTCTTTTTGGCCAAACTTTGTTGGCCTATACTGGTGCTGGGTATAGGGTGTTATTTTGCCAGCTTAGTGATGCTTAGTAATCTCCAAGTTTCTTATATGAATACTTTTTCAAAATTTCTCCTAAAAAAAGAAATACAAATATCAGTCACTATTAATAAAGTTTGCCCAGATCCTGTTAACTACATATAAGTGCGTGCTGTTTGATAATTTAATAAATTACTCAGGTTCTGTAGTCTTGAGACATTTGAGGTTGAGGATATTTGGTTTCTTAGAGTTGGCATTTAGGGAGTATATTTGTTTTTTTTACCTTCTGTTTTTCTTTTTTGTGGGTTTTTGCAGTTGTAAAACATAGGATGTATGTTTTGTCCTTATGGTTTCAACATAATTGGGTGAAATGCACATGGTGCATGTATCATGTTATAAAGGCTGAGATAAGAATTTAAATTGGAGGGCGCCTGGGTGGCTCAGTTGGTTAAGCGACTGCCTTCGGCTCAGGTCATGATCCTGGAGTCCCGGGATCGAGTCCCGCATCGGGC